TTTTTTTTTTTTTTTTTGAACACATGGATTTTCTTTTTTCTTTTATTTTATCGGCCAAGAGTTTCGTTTTTTATCCTGGGGTTTAAAAACTTCATATTCTACACTCTACAGCATGGATGGAGAGAGAGTACCCAATCCCAAACCAGTAACTAAAAAAAGAAAAAGAAAATTCAACTCAACTGGAATAATTCAAACAATTAATTATAACATGAGAGACATACATATATATATGATTGTAAGATTAAAATCTACTTTACTATCTTCAACTCCAAAATCCCACAACAGATCAGCCACACACACACACACACACAAAAAAAAAAAAAAAAGAAGAAAACCCTAACACGACTTGTTTTCTGCTTCTTAGAGGGACATGTAATTTATCCCTTTGGGTAAAATATTTGGGGTTAATTAACAGGTCTTTGTAGTGCTATTTAATATTATTATTATTATTATTATTATTATTATTATTTTGTCATTTTTTTTTTTTTTTTTTGCCTTAAATGGATTGTCTTTTGTTGTGAGATGTTAAGGATAAATGAGTTATGGAGTACTACAGTTGTTGTTGTTGTTGGGGGTTTAATTATTAGTCTTACTTGCTTGCTTTCTGACAGAAGAGAGTGAGCATACGCTGGCGCAATTGTATGTATAAAACACGCAGTACACTGTCTCTATACCTTTGCCTATTCGTGTGCTCCCTTCTCTCTCTGTCAGCACCTAACCACCACTAATAATCACCACATCACCTTTAAATTTAATATGCAATTCTCCAAATACACTATTTTTTTTTTATATATATTTTAAATATAGTAATTAATAATAATAATATATGATGATGATGATGATGCACTATTTTTTTATATATATTTTATATATATTCATGTTTGGTGATGGAAGAGAAGACGGAGAGTTATATAGAAAAGTTCATAAGGGATAATGAAGGTACGCCTTCCCACTCTTCTTATTATATTTAACGGAAAAATTGTTTCTGATTTATTTATTTATTTATTTATTTAATTAAATGAATGAATCAAATATCTAATCACTTTTCTTTATCCAACAAATCAATTAGGTAATTATTTATTTAAAGCTAATATTTCTCATTTTTTTTTTTTTTTAGTGAATGTATTTGAACATTTTTGTGCGTGTTGTTTTTTGCGAGGAAAACTTAAACTACCATATGGATTTGATGATTGGAGGAGGTGAAGATTTGAGTTTCCTTGTTTATTATAATAATACAAAATCATGGATCAACAAAAGGAAAAATCAATGTCCATGGTGCACAGGTTAGGAAGGTTTTCGATTTCTATTTATTTATCCTCATACTTTATTTACTTTCCTTATATTTCTATAATTAATCCGATTTTTATTTATTTATTTTGTTTAATTTCTATTTAATTATTGTTATTGTCGCCTGAAATTGATTGATTCTTCAGAGACTCGTTGTTGCTATTTGGTGATGGAGGAAAATTCATAGCTTCCCTTGTTCAAACTCTTTTGATATCTCTCTCAGGTATATTCTATTCAATTCTATTTATTCATCTTCCTTTTCCGATATTTTTTTTTTTTTT